ATTCGAGGCCACCTACGTCAACAGCCCAGGTGGGCGGGTCTCACCCCAAAGCTTATTTCATGTCAGAACGTGATTAAAAAGGTGACAATTCTCGTCCGGAACGAGTCTGTTACCCGGCCTCGGATTATAGTTGTCTGGCTGGGGAGATATGGAGATGTGTTGGGACCCCTTCAGAAAAATTTTGGATGATAGAAAAATTTCTGGACGGGAGGATGGACGGCACATGTCCGTTTGAGGGGTGGTCGGTCACGTCTTGCAACACATTCTCTCCTCGGCCTTCTTGGGGAAAAGACCGACTGATCATTTTTTATCCGGGTCAGCCTCGGGTGAATGTGCCACAGATGTGGTGGCAAGGGGCATTTTGCCGCCACCTGTCCTGTTATTAGGTGTTCCCTATGCCAGGAAATCGGTCACTTGGCGAGGGACTGCAACAGATTCGTTGCAATCTCTGCAGTGTTTTAGGACACTCCTATAGTCAATGTCCTGAGGCTCTACGCAACTTGCCTGTAGATGAGTTGGCAGCAGAGCTGGACCAGATGGATGCTGAGGAGGCTGAGTTGGGGGGGGCGGAGAGGGCTGGTGTGGCTTCTGCAGTGTCTTCCGGGGCAAGAGGGGAGGCGTCTGAGGCCCAGCCCGTTTCAGTTACCCCTGCTGAGCCTGATCCAGTAGAGTCCCTGCAGTCCCTTCTGTAGCACCTGTCCCCCTTCCCAGGAGAGGGAGGAAAATTGGTTGAGGCCGCCAAAGGGGCGGGGGGGTGGTTGAGTTAGGATCTGGGTCTGTTGTGCCTGTTCCCCCGGTCCTCGCAGGCGGAGTGGGGGGGTCTCTTGGGAGGCTCATGGTCCTGTTCGGGAGGAGCGGGATGGGGTTCAGGTGGAGGAGGGTTGGTCCCTTGTGGGGAAGCGGAATCAGCTGTCCTTTCTGAGGCAGGGTCAGTCTCCTCCTTGGAGGTGGAAGACTTGGCCCAGGATAATCGGTTTGGGGCTCTGTCGGGGGAGGAAGGGGGGGCTTCTAGTGACCCCATGTCCCCGATGGAGGATGAGGAGGGAGGTGGGTCCCTGAAGAGGGTGAGGGATCCTGCTCGAAAGTCCAGAAGGAAAGTCAAGAAACGTCTTTCTCAATCTCCTTAATGGCAGTTCCCGCTCCGTTGAAGGTGGCAACCATTAATGTTGCCAGCCTGAAATCTGTAAGTGCAAGAGAAACAGCCTTATTTTTGATCAGTGGTATGGATGCTGATATTTTATTTTTGGCAGGAGACCAGGTTCCCCAGCTTGGCGGATATGCACCTGGCCAAACGGGAGTGGAGGCGTGGGTCCTCTTACTTGGTCTCTTTGCGGCTGAGCCTTACAGCGGGGTTGCGGTTCTTTTTAACCGGCATGGTAACGTGCCGGGGGTATTTAGGTGGAGATTGGAAGATGTCTGATCCTGGATGTCCTTGTGGGGGGCGCAGGAACTGCGTCTGATTAATGTTTATGGGCCGCAGTCCAAGTGGGACAGGAAATGCCTCTTTACAAAGATTAAACCTTTCCTTTTTACGTCCCGGCTGGTAGTCTTTGGAGGTGATTTTAACACCGTAACTAGGCCCAAGGACAGGGAGAGGCTCACAATGACAGGCTGGGATTATGACAGCGTTTTTTCTGAATGCTAAAGTCAGGGAAGCAGGTCTGGTGGATGCCTTGGTAAGAGCAGCCCAGACAGCACTGGTTACACGTTTAGGAGAGGTAATAGTCAGAGTAGGATAGAAAGGTTTTTTTTGAAGGAGGACTCTGCCTTTTTCGGCACCTGAGTGTTGGGCGGTGGAGTTTTCCGATCACCTTATGCTTACTGTGACTTTAAATATTTCAAACACGCCACTGACAGGGAAAGGCATCTGGAGGCTGAATTCGGCCCTGCTGGAAGATGAGGAGGTGCGACAATCCTTCGAGGAGTTCTTTCAGGCCCAGGTGACCGTGCTGGATTTCTGCAACAGTAAGTCGGAGTGGTGGGGAGCTTACTAAAGTGCGGATCGGCAGGTTTTTCAAGGCCATAGGTAAGAGAAAGCAGTTTAACAAATATAACGCCTACCAACGGTTGCGGAGGAAGCTCGACCGCCTTGTTTCTAGCGGTGGAGATTCTGGGGCAATCTCGGAGGTTAAGCTTCTTCTCAGAGAGTACCAGTAGGACCGGCGGACCTCTTTGGTTCTGGAGAGAGAGGATGGGAAAGTACCACTCCTCTCCGACCCTTTCCAGAACTGCAAACAGGGTGCAGCGGTTAAGACGGTCTCTGGAGGGTAGCGTCTCGTCTGACTGGGGAAATTACTGCAGAAGAGGTGGCCAAAGCTATTGACAGTCTGGCCATTAAGAGGACTCCTGGGCCAGACGGTTTAACAGCTGAATTTTTTAAGACCTTTAAGTCCAGCTTGGCGCCTCGCCTTGCGGAGGTTTACAATTGCTGTTTGGGGTGAGGGATCCCTCCCTCCATGAGGCAGTCTGCAGTTATCCTTCTGTCAAAGGGTAAGGATCCTTCGGCTATTGAGAACTGGCGCCCCATTAGCCTGCTCAATGTCGATAGAAAGATTCTGGCCAAGATCTTGTTCTGGCGCTTGTCGTCAGTGGCAGGCGTTTTGCTTTCTCGTCAGCAGCATTGCTCGGTCCAGGGCAGGAGCACCTTCACAGCAGCAGTGGACCAGGCAAAGGCCTTTGATCGGGTCAATCAGGAATACCTCTGGTGTCTCCTGGACCGGTACGGTTTGGAGAGGAGGTTCATTGGCTGGTTGAAGACGTTATACAGGGAGGCTGAGAGCTTCATGTTGGTGAATGGTTGGGTTGGGCGGCCCTTTGGGGTTGGATCGGGGGTGCGCCAGTGGTGCCCGCTGAGTCCTCTGCTCTATGCCTTCGCTATTGACCCCTTCGTCAGGAGGCTAGATGGTGGAGCGTTGGGTGGGGTGCCGGTGGGTGCTGCTGGTGATCCACCCCTGAGGGTCGTTGCCTACGCTGATGACGTTTCTGTCTTCATCTCCGGGACTGAGGAGGCACAGGACGTGGTCTCAGTGATGGATCAGTATGCTGAGGCGTCTGGCTCCAAGGTCAATCAAGACAAATGTGAAGTTCTTTGGATGGGTAGGGAGAGCCTCTCACTTCCGGACACCTTCCCAGTGCCTCAACAGAGTGTGAAAATCTTAGGCATCAATTTTGGCCCTGCTGGTTATGGCAAGTTAAATTGGGAAGCCAAACTGTCTGATGCTGAGGTCAAGGTGAGATGCTGGAAGGGGTGGCGGCGCTCCTTGAGGGAAAGGGTTGACCTGATCAAGACTTTCCTGCTTCCTGTATTTTTGTATGTCAGCTTCGTCTGCCTCTTGCCAGAGTCGCCAGAGTCGCTCTATACGAGGGTCTACAGCTGCTTCTTCCAGATGTTATGGGGGAACAGGCTGAACCTTGTTAGGAGGGACATAACTTACTCATCTAGGCGGGAGGGTGGCCTAGGTATGGTCAACCCGATAGTATTCTTCTCTCTGATGTTCCTGAAACATAATCTTGGTAGTATGTTAGCAGAGAGACCGCCTGCATGGGTAGGACTGTTCCAGATCTGGTTTAGGCCCTTTCTGAGAAATTGGGAGAGTGGCGGGCCAGTGAGAAGCCTGCAGGTCAAGGACGGTAAGCTCCCGGCTTATGTGGCCCTGTGCCTGAAGTTACTCCGGTGGTGGCATGTGACGGCGGAGGAATTCAGATCCCTAGGAGACTCCTAGGTGAGAGGATTGTGGCGACCGCTTTCCATGCGCCGTTGGCCTTGAAGGATTGCCCAGGCCATATCATGAGGGAGGGTTTACGTTTGTTAAATCTGGAACGGATTCCCTTAAAGTTTAGGGACCTGGCCTGGCTCGCCTTTCATGGCAGACTTTACGTGAGGGGCAACTTGAAGTGCCGTCCTCTGGATGACCGTGGTTGTCCGAGGTCGGAGTGTCAGGGTGAAGTGGAAACTATAGACCACTTCCTGCTTCAGTGCCCCTTTAACGTAGAAGTGTACAGAGAGGTGGGTGGGGCTCAGGGTGTCTCTTTCCTCCATTGCATATCTTATGCAGAGTGGGTGTATGGAGCATTTGAAAGCAGCCGGGATTTTGATTTGGACACCCTGTTCTTAGTGTAGTGGTCTGGTATTACACATGGAACGCACGGTGTCAGGTCTCTATTCGGAAAAAAAAGTCCTCCCCGTTCAGGTGGTGGTGCGTGACATCCTTGGTGAGGTTGGGAAAGTTCGGGGCCTTGAGAAAGGCAGGTGGTGGCGGGAGGCGTGGAGGAACATCAGGCCTGTAGCTGCTGTCTGCTGATCTCGGGTGGTGGCATCTGTCCCTATTTTCCTCCTTTTTCACCCCCCTAGATTTTGTCAAGAAATATTCCATTTTATGAAAGGTTGTGACGCTGAAGGTCTATGTTTCTTTGCCTTCCTTCTGGTAAGTTTGTAATGTTGTTTAAGTGTTAAGTTCTCTTTCTATGGTGAGTTTAGGCCATAAAGGCCGAGTATTGCGGGAGATTGGAAATTGCATGTGTCCTTTCTTTGGCCAAGTAGGCCTAGTGCATGGGAATATCTTGTGCTATATAAGTTCTTGGATATGGGCATGTTTTTGGCCATAAAGGCCTATGTATATATGGATTTTTTTCTCCTTTTAGGGATGAACTTTCTCTGGTCATTAAGGCCTTTTGGACTTAAGTAATAGGCCAATATAGGCCTGGGACTACTATATAGTGAGCCTAAAGGGCGGTTTTTTGTTAAAGTTTTTCCTTTTCAGGAGTTTCTGGACTTTTGTTTGTGCATGAGTTTCATGTTTGTATTTATTTATTTATGTTTTTGCTTTTATAAGAAAAGTATGATGGATATGTATGACTCAAATACATAATAAAATATCTCCATTCCTGACAGTACCCCCCCCCCCCTCAAGGAGCGGCCTCAGGACGCTCCAAACAGTCCTTAGTGGGCAAAATGTTCCAGCGCCCGGTCAGGTAACTGGCTGGATATCAGGGGCTGGCACATCAGGCTGGGCAGCGGGCAGAGGCACATCAGGCTTGGCATCGGGCAGAGGCACCTCAGGCTGGGCAGTGGGCACCGGGGCCATCAGGCTGGGCAGTGGGCACCGGGTCATCAGGCACGACAGCGGGCACCGAGTCATCTGGCACGACAGCGGGCCGAGCCATCTAGCAGAACCGTGGGCACTGGGTCACCAAGCTCGACAGCGGGCACCGAGTCATCTGGCATGACAGCGGGCACCGAGTCATCTGGCACGACAGCGGGCACCGAGTCATCTGGCATGACAGCGGGCACCGAGTCATCTGGCATGACAGCGGGCACCGAGACACCAAGTCATCTGGCACGAGTCATCTGGCACGACAGCGGGCACCGAGTCATCTGGCAGGACAGCGGGCACCGAGTCACCAAGCTCGACAGCGGGCGCCGAGTCACCAAGCTTGACAACGGGTGCCGAGTCATCTGGCACAACATCGGGCGCCGAGTCACCAAGCTCGACAGCGGGCACCGAGCCATCTGGCTGGACCGCGGGCACGGAGGCACCAGGCCCGACCAGGTCATCAGGCTGGATCACGAACACCGGGTCATCAGGCTGGATCAAGTCATCAGGCTGGATCGGGCCATCAGGCTGGATCGGGCCATCAGGCTGGGTAGCGGGCACCAGATCATCAAGCTGGATAGGATCATCAGGCTGGATCGGGTCATCAGGCTGGGTAGGGTCATCAGGCTGGGTAGGATTATCAGGCTGGGTAGCGTACACCAGATCATCAAGCTGGATAGGATCATCAGGCTGGATCGGGTCATCAGGCCGGATTGGGTCATCAGGCTGGGTAGCGTACACTGGGTCATCAGGCATCAGGCATCACGCTGAACAACGGAAGGCGGGTTCTCAGCCAGCAGGCTGACCGGTTTGGATACTGGCAGGATGGTACTGGTTGGAAAGAATTTTCGCTTCTTCTTGGGTTTAGTTACTAGGGCGCTGCAAGTAAATGCAGGTCTGTAAATGGAGGGAGTAGCTGGAGACAGAAGAGCTGGAGGATGGAACAGAGGAGGGAATAGTTGCTACAGCGGCCTTTTTTACAGGGTTAAAAACAGGATAGGTGCAGCGAGTGGGAACAGGGTACTGACATGTGGTAGATAACAGGGTATACTGGGCTGTAACTGGGGGTGCTGTCAGGAATGCAGGAGTAGAGCTTTGAGCAGAGGAATGATTAGAAGCAGGACTGGTTTGTTGCAAGCTGCCTGAGGCTGGGTGTAACAAGTCTGACCAGGACTGTAGTATTGGATGAACAAAACTCAGCTTACACATAGCCTGTCTGACCAAAGACTGCACTGCGTTTAAACAGTCCACTAGCACATGTGGTGAACATGCTGAATAATGCTCCCAGAAGCAATCCGGATCATCCTCCAACAACCATACCAGTGATTCTATTTGATCCGTACTGAATGGTGGAAGAAAGTCATTCCTGCTTTCAGGGGTATTAGATGAAGCCAACTCAATACAAGCCTGAATCAATCGTTGCACCTCAGAGAACTCCATGCCCTGATCTACTAGGGAATGAGCGACCCGTATGCACTCTAGCAGCTGATCCATGGCATACTCCTTCAGAGTCTGATAGGCATAATCTCTGTCATCTAAGACTAGCAGACACAAGTATATAACCTCCTCCGGATGCATCCTTCACAACAACAAGCCAAGATGGCTTCCCTGTGCAGCCACTTCTGGTCAGGACTGGCCTTGGTGTAATGTCAGGGCTCCAGGTATGACCAGAGATGTGTGGACTGACACAGGGAAACGCAGGCTTCAGGTATGGTATAAACAATACAATTTATTAAAGACTAAACAATACATAAACGCAGTGCAAGACTAAACATAAACACAGTGCAAACAAACCAAACCTCCAACAGATAACAATAAGAACAATACTAAACGTAGTCGGGCAGGCTGGGTCAGTAGCAAACGGGCAAGCAAGGTACAAGGAGCAGGCGGAAGAATAGTCAGGAATAGCCGAGGTCGGTACAGGCAGAGTTCGTGCAGAGTCAGGATTCAAGCAGGCAGGATCAGGATACAAGGGCCAAGGGAAAACTATACACCAAGGCACTGACTGCAGGTCTTGCCACTCCTTAAATACACCTCCTGCAATCAGCCTCAGGTGATGACTTGATTGCAGGAGTGAGCTTCTGGCTGCTGAGAGCACCCGCTGGCCAGTCCGGGTACTGCAGTCCACACGGCAGGTGAGTCCTACCACCAGTGGTGAGTCCATTCCTGACAGCTCCAGGAAGATCAAAGAAGGTCTAAAGTTACCTGTGAGTACTGTTACAATTAGAAGACACCTATGTGAAGCCAAGCTATCTGCAAGAAGCCCCCGCAAAGTCCCACTGTTGAAAAGAAGACGTGCTGAAGAGGTTACAATTTGCCAAAGAGCACATTGACTGGCCTAAAGAGAAATGGTGCAACATTTTGTGGACTGATAAAAGTAAGATTGTTCTTTTTGAGTCTAGTGGCCGAGACAGTTTGTCAGACGACCCCCAAACACTGAATTCAAGCCACAGTACACTGTGAAGACAGTGAAGCATGGTTGCGCAAGCATCATGATATGGGGATGTTTCTCATATTACGGTGTTGGGCCTATTTATCGCATAACAGGGATCATGGATCAGTTTGAATACATCAGAATACTTGAAGAGGTCATGCATGCCTGCCTTATGCTGAAGAGGAAATGCCCTTGAAATGGGTGTTCCAACAAGACAACGACCCCAAGCACACCAGTAAATGTGCAACATCTTGGTTCCAGACCAGCAAGATTGATGTTATGGAGTGGCCAGCCCAATCCCCGGATCTTAATCCATTAGAAAACTTGTGGGGTGACATAAAAAAATGCAGTTTCTGAGGCAAAACCAAGAAATAGAGAAGAACTGTGGAATGTAGTCCAATCATCCTGGGCTGGAATACCTCTTCACAGGTGCTAGAAGTTGGTTGACTCCATGCAACACAGATGTACAGCAGTTCTCAGAAACAGTGCTTATACAACTAAATATTCATTAAGTGATTCAAAGGAAATCAAAATCTTCAAACATTTTTCAGTTTATATAGTGAATGTTTGAGTTTGTAAAGAAGAATACAAACACTGCTATTTTTTTGAACAGTCTAATATTCACTTTTCTTCAATTTTTTTAGAGGAACAACACAAATTTGATATAGTTTTCTTCATGTTTTGATTTGGAATAGAATGTGTCGTGTTCCCATTGCATTTGTGTGTATGGAAATAAAAGCTATTAGAAGGATTTTCAGCTTTATTCACTTTTTTCAACACACTGCTATTATTTTGAACACAACTGTATATACAGTGAAGGAAATAAGTATTTGATCCCCTGCTGATTTTGAATGTATGCCCATTCACAAAGAAATGATCAGTCTAAAAATCGAATGGTAGGTGTATTGTAACACTGAGAGACAAAATAGCAACAAAATATTCAAAAAAATTGCATATCTAACAAATTATGCACTGATTTGCATGTTCACGAGGAAAATAAGTATTTGAATCCCTTCACAAAACATGACTTAATACTTGGTGGCAAATCCCTTGATGGCAATCAGAGGTCAGACGTTTCCTGCAGTTGGGCACCAGGTTTGCACACATCTCAGGAGGGATTTTGGCAAACTCCTCTTGGCAGATCCTCTCCAAGTCTTTAAGGTTTGGTGGCTGACATTTGGCAACTCTAACTTTCAGCTCCCTCCACAGATTATCAATCTGATAAAGGTCTGGAGACTGGATAGGCCACTCCAGGACCTTAATGTGCTTCTTCTTGAGCCAATCCTTTGTTGCCTTGGCTGTGTGTTTTTGGTCATTGTCATGCTCGAACACCCATCCATGACCTATTTTCAATGCCCTGGCTGAGGGAAGAAGGTACTCACCTAAGATATGACGGTACATTGCCCCGTCCATCGTCCCTTTGATGTGGTGCAGTTGTCTTGTCCCCTTAACAGAAAAACACCCCCAAAGCAGAATGTTTCCACCACCATGTTTGACAGTTGGGATGGTGTTCTTGGGGTCATAGGCAGCATTCCTCCTCCTCCAAACACGGCAACCGGCAAGTTGAGTTGATGCCAAAGAGCTTGATTTTGGTCTCATCTGACCACAACACACTTTTAACCAGTCCTCCTCTGCATCATTCAGATGTTCATTGGAAAACTTCAGACAGGCCTGGACATGTGCTTTCTTGAGCAGAGGGACCATGCGGGCACTGCAGGATTTCAATCCTTGTCGGCGTAGTATGTTCCCAATTGTTTTCTTGGTGACTGTGGTCCCCGCTGCCTGGAGATAATTGACAAGATCCTCATGTATAGTTCTGGGATGATTCCTCACTGTTCTCATGATCATTAACACTCCACGAGGTGAGATCTTGCATGGTGCACCAGACCTAGGGAGACTGACAGTTGTTTTGTGTTTCATTCATTTGTGAATGATTGCACCAACTGTTGTCACCTTCTCACCAAGCTGCTTGGTGGTAGTTTGGTAGCCCAGTCCAGCCTTGTGTAGGTCTACAATCTTGTCCCTGACATCCTTGGACAGCTATTTGGTCTTTGCCATAGTGGAGAGTATGGAATCTGATTGTTTGATTGCTCCTGTGGATAGGTGTCTTTTATACAGGTAACAAAATGAGATTAGCAGCACTCCCTTTAAGAGACTGCTTCTAATCTCAGCTTGTTACCTGTATGAAAGACACTTGGTAGCCAGAAATCCTGCTGAATGATAGGGGATCAAATACTTATTTCCCTCATGAACATGCAAATCGGTGCATAATTTGTTAGACATGCATTTCTTTTGAATTTTTTGTTACTATTCTATTTCTCAGTGTTACAATACACCTACCATTCAATGTTTAGACTGATCATTTCTTTGTGAGTGGGCAAATATTCAAAATCAGCAGGGGATCAAACACTTATTTCCTTCACTGTATATCCCTAGCAACGCACTGACCAGCCATGTGAAAGCTCAGACGAGTTGCGGCTAATGAGGCGCAGCTCATGACGTCATCAAACCATATCAATAAAGGTAAATTGAATAAAATATAGGAACAATAGATAAAATTGAACACCTTTTATTAGGTTAAAAAACCACCCCCATAGCTGGAGCATATTCATCAGACATAGAGAACCATAAGCCACAATCCATCCCAATAAATACCATTCAATCAGAGATCTATTGGCCAAATGCTGCAGACCACCAAGTATAGTAGGGCTCAGATTACTTTCCATCAGTGGAGAAAGGTTTCTTATCGAAGGAGGGGGAGGGTAAAAAAACCTCAAACCCTCTTCCCCCTGTGTATTCCTGAATTGAAAAAAGCCTTCAGGGTTTAAATAGCGGTCAATTGGCTCCAAAATGGCAGCATGGGAGGTATAGTGCGCATGTGCAGTGACGTCAGTGATGCACAGCGATGACGTCATGATGTCCAACATCATTATGTCATGCAACTTGACTCAAGACGTCAAAAAAGTCATGTCCATCTTAAAGAAGACCTGGGAGAAAATATATGACCTTGAATGGACAAATCCACAAGAGGAAGCAATCCTAATAAAGCATAACCAGGACATGGCCCCACAAGTCAAACAATCAGGTATAAATAAAGGAAGACACCCTTTATAGAGCCTGGCCAAAAGTGGCCATATGTGGTTCAATCAGAGTCCATTATACAAAAAAAT